TTTTTTCTACAGTTCCTGAATTAGTTAATGGTAAACGACGTGAGAGCAGGACTTGACCCTTTGACCCCCTGTCTTCTCTCTATGGGAACAGCAGGAACAAACACAAAGTAAACTCCAGCCAGGAAGTCCCACTTATTCCGTTTTATGAGAAGAGCTCCACAAGCAAGAAGACAGATTGTAAAAAGGAGACAGTGGATGAGGCACATGCTCGCTTTAATGTAATTAACATCAACTAATGTAAAAGAAAAAGTGCGCCTGCAAAGCCTGTTACACAGACGCAAAACATACACAGAGGAAACCAGACGGAGGAGGCAGAAAACAGGCCAAGTTGCAGCCGCTGCAACAAGTGTGGGGTCAGAAATTTATAGAAAAATCACTAAAGAATAGAAAGGACAACAGTGTCGCGGCAGCATGATGCCACCTCTGTAACAGCTAACACAATAGGAGACCACAGCATAACAAAGCCTGTTTCCTACAGGAAATTACAGTGATGGGTCAGAGTTCAAATTCAGCTGGCTTTTGTTTGGGGAATTTTTCATAACAGGTTAGAACACAAGTCCAATAAAAAAAGAAATTTTAAAAACTGCCAACAATGCTCTTGTGATGTTTATGGTTATTGTCACCACAAGAATTCAAAGAATATTGCGCCAGGAATAGCAGGAAATGGGTTATCCAACTGTGATCTGTACAATACTGACAAACACTGAAACAAGTGTGTTTTATGTTTTATAGCAGAGATGTTTAACAAATGCTCGGATAAAAAATAAATAAATCACGTAAGAAAGAATCAAACATCAGAATCAGTTTGTTTGTTTGCCCCAGTTTCTTTTCTGTCCTTTCACTGTTTGACAGGTTAAGTCTGATTCACAAGTTCGTGCACAAGACTCTCACAGATCGCAGTTCGTGTGATTTGTGAGAGTCTTGTGAGGCATTTGTCTTTGTCCGAGTGTAACACAAGTGCTCTGTTTTAAAAGGATGCGTTTGTGGTCTGGTGGTAAACACGAGTTAACCGCGCGTTTCGTGGGTGTAGTTTAACGTCCCCTTCAGAGGATGCAGAGTTTGAGCAGGTGTGAGTTACAGGTATGCGGCTCGGGGGCATTCCTGATTGCTCGTGGCTGCTATAATCCAGGAATGTGCTGAACTTTGATTTAACAGATCTACGTGTACACTGATCTTTCTTTGTAGAGAACCGTCCTGAACACACCCCTTCTTTGGACACCCAGTTGTTTACCTGTGACCCCCCCCCTGTTGCCATTCGTTGTCCATGCTTGTACCTGTTTTATCTGCCACACACCAGTGCTTTTACCTGTGCCTGTGTGTGTGCCTGTGCTGGCAGCATGGCCTCCCCTTTGTTTGGTGTTGTTGCTCCAGTAGCTGACTGTTTTATTGTTTACCTGTGATCCTGCTGTTGGACTCGCCGTGGCCTCTCCTCCTCTGCAGCAGGAAGAAGTCGTTGCTCCTCTCGGTCACCCAGAGTTTCAGCACATTTTTGAGCAGAACTTCATCGGGGTTTAGCCACATTTCTTCTAACAGGGAGGGACCGGAGTGAGCCCTCCGCCGAATCGGTCTTTGCAGCAGCGGGGGAGTATAAACTTTATCTGCCTGTTTTTCGGCTCGGGGGTGGCCCGATCGCTCCTACAGCGGCGGGTTTTCGGCTTTATCCATGGCCATCCTGCGCTCCTGACAGCTGCAGG